TTTTTTTTTACTTATTATTATTATTTTTTATTGTACATTTTGACTTTACAACGGGAGTTTAGTGAATTTTATTCTTTGATTTTTATTCGTACAAAAGAAAACACGTTAATGAAATTTATTTTTATGGTTGAAAACTTCGATTTGGATAATAGAAAAAGAAAGAAAGAAATAAAATAAAAATAATTAAATACTAAATGCCTGTAATTTTTTTAAATTAAATATCACGAGATCATTTTGAATTATATATGAAAATGTGTCTTTTCGCATTTAATTCTAACATTTTATTTTAATTGATTTTGTTAGTTTTCCACTGTAAAAATGCATAAACAGTACGATGCGTGCAAAGAAAAATGGTTCGCTTGTGTTAAGAATAATAGCGTTTAATTCTCTTAATGATAGATTAGTAAGTTGTAATTGCATCAATTTTATCTCGTTGTTAAAAGGAATGGTTACCATTTGAATGCCCTTATTTTCTTCTTAGTTTATACTCGAGTTCACGCCTCTTGGGAAAATTTACTGATTGTTCACTAGGTTCCTACTTAGTACCGAAGACATAAGCTTATTATAAAAGTAAAGGATAAAGTATTAGAGTGAAAATTACCGGATGGGATAAAATAACAAATTCCAAAGTTATTTATTGTTATTATTATCGTAGGTTATAAAATAATCTTCCACAAAGATAGTTAATTTTATCATTTAAAATATGTTACAGCGGCCAGTTCTATAAATCACTATGATATATGTCCTTTCATAAGTGATCGCTGTGTAAGAATAATCGCTTTTTAATTACTCTGTACTCTTTTTACATGCTATTTTTATTAAAAATATCCATTTAATTTGGTTATAAATAGTATTAATTATAAATTTAGATAATAGGTTTTTGTGTAAAGTAAGATTTTTCTCTATAGAGATGTATATATACATAAAGAAAGTAAAGGCTTCTAGAAGATAAAACTTAAATTTTTTTTATACATATATTTAATTTTTTTTTCCTCCTTACTTTATGGCTTACTCTTTTTACATAAAGTTGTTGACTAGAATATTACTAAACTCATTTAATGCTTTTATTAGTTGTTAAGTGGATAATTAAGCATTTAATTCACTATAACAGAGTAGCAGTAAATTAATTACGAGATTATTAATATACTGTAAAATGCAGTAAAGACATTTTTAGAGGATAAATATTGTATCTTCTATAATAATTTTTCGCTTTAAATTGTGCAAAATTATCAATTTTAATCACGTAAAAAGTATCTTTTATATATACACATTTATTTTACGAGCTACGATAATAATTTAAAAATTTATTTTTATTTTTATAAAAATAACATCGTTTTAAATTCAATTATTAAAATTATAATTTAAGAAAATTTCATTTAAAAATATTTTAAATATTAATTTGTCTTAATAGCCTCTTACCCTATTTTCCTGGCAAAGGAGAGAGAGAGAGACTAATGCATTAAAAAACAGAAACAAAAATTTATTAAAGAAGCTTAATTCAAAGTCAGAAATTTTGCACGAAGTATTTTATTACAGACAAATCATCTTTTCTTTCTTTTTCTTTCTTTTTTTTGATGAATGGCCACGATATAAGATGCTAGATTATGATTAAGTAGCTTCACTCGCTATATGTCAGCTATTTTTCTAGTGTTGGATTATTTCGAAAAGTTTTAAAATTATATCGTCCAGTTACAACATCCGTTGACCTCATATTACCCTACAAGTTTGTATTGTATAAGCATCGTGTAAAATTATATACAACAGGAGCACAAAGCTTTGAATAATGAATGTACTGTACTTAAAAGGCAGCATTTAAGACTAATAAGTGTTTGTGTTGAATAAATAATTGAAGTAAGTTGGGTGAAGTCACGAAAATAGTTCTTTTGGAAAAGTAAGCCCCCTCTTCATATAACGTTATTTTTTCATTTAAGACTCTCGACAAATTTAAAAAGAATTTTATGTATATATATATATATATATTTACTGGAATTTTCCCTTTCTCTTTTAATAAATTGAGTTTTTCCCCCCTTTATAAAAATATTTTCTTCATTTTTTATTTTGACTTTTTATCCTTTAAAGTAATAGTTTAGAAGCTTTCAATCCATTTTTGTCTTTTCAATTATAAGGAAGTCTTAAGTCTTCAAACAGAATTGACTGATAGCAGCTTTTATAAACTGCTATCTTAGTTTCACTAAGCCTCAAATAAATTGATGGTTTTTTCTCTTTATCCTATTTTCTAAAAATATTAAAAGCAAATAAAACCATATTTTGATTTTAAAACTTAATTTTAGTAAAATATTTATTTAACATAGAGAAGAGGAGGAAGAAAAGGNTATATATATATATATATATTTACTGGAATTTTCCCTTTCTCTTTTAATAAATTGAGTTTTTCCCCCCTTTATAAAAATATTTTCTTCAATTTTTATTTTGACTTTTTATCCTTTAAAGTAATAGTTTAGAAGCTTTCAATCCATTTTTGTCTTTTCAATTATAAGGAAGTCTTAAGTCTTCAAACAGAATTGACTGATAGCAGCTTTTATAAACTGCTATCTTAGTTTCACTAAGCCTCAAATAAATTGATGGTTTTTTCTCTTTATCCTATTTTCTAAAAATATTAAAAGCAAATAAAACCATATTTTGATTTTAAAACTTAATTTTAGTAAAATATTTATTTAACATAGAGAAGAGGAGGAAGAAAAGGAGAGGGAAAAAAACATTTTCTGCATGCTAGTCGTTTTGCTAATGAATTTTATGATTAGCGATTAATGTATAATTATCTTTACAGGTCCGAAACCTAAAATTCGTGACCATTATCATGNTTATAATAAAAAGAAAAGAAAATAACGAATGTCTTCAGGAGAGAGTATCATTTCTATCGAATAACATGTTTGGATGTGATTACTCCACCACTGAAGTAAGTTTAAACAGAGGAAGAAAAGGAGAGGGAAAAAAACATTTTCTGCATGCTAGTCGTTTTGCTAATGAATTTTATGATTAGCGATTAATGTATAATTATCTTTACAGGTCCGAAACCTAAAATTCGTGACCATTATCATGCTCATCGTCTTTCATTTTGGCTTAATTTGATTCCAAAACTTCATGATCCGCCGGATGCTGATGTTCCTTTAGAGCATCATTTACTGGAAGACCACCATAACCTAGACATGTACGATGGCGAAGTACGTCAGATCATTAGAAAAGTTTCTTTATCATCGACAATTTCCCCCTCTGTAGATACTGTATCCCACACTAGTTCTCCAGGGCTCGGAAACAACAGTGGAGAAATGGAACTGAGTACGTCAACAACATCATTGTCTAACAACCAAGATAAGCATGCAACCATCACTTCGTCTACCAACTTGACTGATTCTTTATCCGTGATGATGCAGCAAGGAGCTTATTCGACTGCCCTCAGTGTCACTATTGCCATAGGATGTTCCCTTTTGGTGCTCAATGTACTCATCTTCGCAGGGGTTTACTACCAGAGGGATAAAAACAAACTCGATACAAATATGTGGAAAAGAAATTATCAGGTAATTACTTTATAATACCTTGTAAAATATTAATTTAAACAAAAATTTATTAAAGAAGCTTAATTCAAAGTCAGAAATTTTGCACGAAGTATTTTATTACAGACAAATCATCTTTTCTTTCTTTTTCTTTCTTTTTTTTGATGAATGGCCACGATATAAGATGCTAGATTATGATTAAGTAGTTTCACTCGCTATATGTCAGCTATTTTTCTAGTGTTGGATTATTTCGAAAAGTTTTAAAATTATATCGTCCAGTTACAACATCCGTTGACCTCATATTACCCTACAAGTTTGTATTGTATAAGCATCGTGTAAAATTATATACAACAGGAGCACAAAGCTTTGAATAATGAATGTACTGTACTTAAAAGGCAGCATTTAAGACTAATAAGTGTTTGTGTTGAATAAATAATTGAAGTAAGTTGGGTGAAGTCACGAAAATAGTTCTTTTGGAAAAGTAAGCCCCCTCTTCATATAACGTTATTTTTTCATTTAAGACTCTCGACAAATTTAAAAAGAATTTTATGTATATATATATATATATATTTACTGGAATTTTCCCTTTCTCTTTTAATAAATTGAGTTTTTCCCCCCTTTATAAAAATATTTTCTTCAATTTTTATTTTGACTTTTTATCCTTTAAAGTAATAGTTTAGAAGCTTTCAATCCATTTTTGTCTTTTCAATTATAAGGAAGTCTTAAGTCTTCAAACAGAATTGACTGATAGCAGCTTTTATAAACTGCTATCTTAGTTTCACTAAGCCTCAAATAAATTGATGGTTTTTTCTCTTTATCCTATTTTCTAAAAATATTAAAAGCAAATAAAACCATATTTTGATTTTAAAACTTAATTTTAGTAAAATATTTATTTAACATAGAGAAGAGGAGGAAGAAAAGGAGAGGGAAAAAAACATTTTCTGCATGCTAGTCGTTTTGCTAATGAATTTTATGATTAGCGATTAATGTATAATTATCTTTACAGGTCCGAAACCTAAAATTCGTGACCATTATCATGCTCATCGTCTTTCATTTTGGCTTAATTTGATTCCAAAACTTCATGATCCGCCGGATGCTGATGTTCCTTTAGAGCATCATTTACTGGAAGACCACCATAACCTAGACATGTACGATGGCGAAGTACGTCAGATCATTAGAAAAGTTTCTTTATCATCGACAATTTCCCCCTCTGTAGATACTGTATCCCACACTAGTTCTCCAGGGCTCGGAAACAACAGTGGAGAAATGGAACTGAGTACGTCAACAACATCATTGTCTAACAACCAAGATAAGCATGCAACCATCACTTCGTCTACCAACTTGACTGATTCTTTATCCGTGATGATGCAGCAAGGAGCTTATTCGACTGCCCTCAGTGTCACTATTGCCATAGGATGTTCCCTTTTGGTGCTCAATGTACTCATCTTCGCAGGGGTTTACTACCAGAGGGATAAAAACAAACTCGATACAAATATGTGGAAAAGAAATTATCAGGTAATTACTTTATAATACCTTGTAAAATATTAATTTAAACAAAAATTTATATATATATATATTTATAAACGATAAGAAATATCAAATACACCATGGAGGAAAATTGATTTGCATATTCTCGTCTTTGAGAGTTAGATAAATGTATTTCGTATGATGAAAAATGCAAGAGGGGAAGGATATAAATAAAAAAGTGAATTTAAAATATGTTTTATGCTTATTAAACTGATACAGTTTCCCTTACTTAGAAGGAAAAAACTGTATAAAGGGAGAAATCTGCCGAGTATGCAATGTTAAGTTTGGTGGAATGCTTTGATATCAAGGTTTCTGTCGACGTGTGATGAAAGAGATAAGACACAACACGCGTATACTGACATTTCTTCTGGAGTTTGGGTAATTCAGATCGTCTATGTCGGAAAAAACCTCGACATTCATGCTCCACAAGAGACTAGAGGTTATGAACCACGATTGAAACGATAAGATTACGAATCCAATGCGGCGAAATAACTTTTTTTATGGAGCGAGTTAATGGAATGTTGCTCCTATTCGCATTAAGTTCTTTCTCGGAATGGTTCACATTTAATGATCCCTTTCTAATAGAACTGAGTTTTACAATAAAATAATTACATATAAAAGTTAATAAAAAAAACTCTTAATTCTTCGTATAGGTGAGAAGACCGAACGAAGGAGATATGATACTGGAAGTTCCCACGAAAAACCCTACAATGGCCCTTCCTACCCACGTAGGGCAGTATCCTTTAGCTCAAGATTATCCATCCCCTTTGCCGTCCCCTTCCCAAAAGGGGAATCCTCTGCCACAGAGGATGTCCCCAAAAGTCGCTTCGGCGTCACCGAAAGAAGCTTTACCAGAAGCCCAACCACTTCTGCCTTATCCAGGACCTCGGATGCTAGCTCCAGAATGGCAGGGTGGCCAGGAATTGCGAGTGTGAGTACGTGACATTTTTATTGGCGTCATTTAAACGCTAAAACACAAAGAAAAACTAAAAAAATAAAAATAATAAAAAAAGCACTGCCAAGATCCAATCCTCCTCTGAGACATTAACGTTAAAGTATCGTCAAACAACCAAAACGAATTAATGCCAAATTTAGCAATTTCACTCATACTTCTAGTAGAAATATGAGGCTAATTAAATCAAATTCGATCTAAAATTCGACATACAACGATGCGAAGAATGTACGCGACATTTTAGGACATTTTTGGATAAAGACTCGTTAAACACATGGCGTTTTACGAATGATATAAATTGCGTTTTGTGCCAGAAAAATTGGATTAATTTACTATAAATTTCGTTAGAAAATTACATAATTTAATTTCTATCAATTAGCGCTATCCTGGGATAATTATTTAAATTAATTACGACAATGTATAAGTTATTTGACATCAAAGTATAACTAGTAACAATTAATATGGAAATATGTTTTGTGATATTCATTGAAACTTTACTAAAGTAACATCTTGCAAATTGTTTTCTCCTCATTTTTTTTTTGCCTTAAATATATTTATTAAAGACTAAGTTTTATAATTAGATCCTGTTAAATATATTTATTATAAACTTTCTCAGATGCATAATATATATATTTTGTAGCTAATTTTTCATTAAAAAAAAGATTTACTTAACGATGTTTGTTACAGTAACTTTGTTCTTTCGAAATTTTGATGTAATTTTTCTGTAAGTTTATTTTTTTCTTCTGAAAAATAAATAATTAACTTAATTAAGATATTTACTAAAGACTTTTGTGTTTCCAATTCTTTATTAAAATATTTATTTAAAAATATATTCATACCAAAATGGAGAGAGTTATTCAAATATGTTTATTATGTAATTTTGTTTAATTAAACACACACACACATATATTTTTTCTTCCTTTACTCCACATAAAATTATATTAAAAAAAAACAAATAAAACTAACCAATTTCCATAAAAAAATTCTACATAAAAATCATTCAGTTTAATTTAAATAAGAAATATAACCTGTTCTTACATAAGACATTTATTTTTCCCTTTACTAAATCATTACATTTAATTATAATTTATGAGTTACCTACTTACTCATGAAATCGTCGCAAAGTACTTCTATTATTTCATTTTACAACTAAGTAAAGAGACATTAAGTTATTTTATGAGCCACTTAGAATAAACGAACAAAGAATATCTGGATATAAATAAGCCAAAAATCTATGTACCTTCAATTACAACTAATTTAATTTAACTATTATACTTCTATCCAGTCTTTAATAAGTAGTTAAGTAGACTACCTGTGTATACATAGTATAAAACTTTAAAATAAACAAACACACTCAATTAAAAGTAATGATAAACGTATAAAAGAAAAAAAAAAAACACACACACACACACACACATGGTACTGTACACTAGAAGAAAACAATATGTTTGTTTCTTTTAGTGCTGAATACACTTAAGGTATTTAACTTGATTGAACTGGAACAGGTTTTATTTTTTCTCCCTTTCTTTTTGTTGACATGCTTTACTTGGCCTATAGGTATCCTTTAGAGACTGGCTGCAAATATGCAAACGCAGCTGGTGCATCGTAAAAAAGACTGAACAGATTGGATAGTATTATAAGATAATAATGTTTTTTTCTTACTGACTCATTAGAAAATAATTAAATTAAGTAATAAATAATTTAAATATATATATATATATATAAACATAACAGGGTGGTCCAGAAGTCGGTTAACCGTTATAAAGACTGAAATGACTAGAAAAGTGCAATGAATTTAATTAACATTTTCATTAATTTTGCAGAAAATTCTTCTTGTTCTAAATATTAAGCAATGTCTGTTCAATNTATCTGAATATACTGTTGTTTTTATTTTCATAATATTATCTTTTTATTAAATAAATAAAGAAAATGTTTGAACGGATAACAAATTTATTTTTCAATATATAAGTTCAACTTTATATTGCTAGTAAACAAATGTTGATCTTTATCTTCAAAGATATTCTTTGAAGATATTGTCTTCCGTTTGTGTGTTTTATGGTTGACTAACTTAATCCTGAATTAGGATATTTCTTCTTTATTTTTTAGGCACTTCAAGGATACGCGGCAGGAAACTACTGTGTAATAGGAAGCATCGACTGGAGACAAAGAGACTTGTAACATAGAAGCGTTGCAGAAGTTAGTTTCAAATTTGCAGAGGGGTAAGAGCATTTTTTTTATAAACAGTAAACAATAAAAATTCCATACACAGAATAACCATTCGTATTTTATTTTAATTAAAATATTCTTTTAATATTTGTAGATAATGACAATCATTTTATAAAGTGCCTTGTGTGTTATTTTCATTTTCATTAATTTTGCAGAAAATTCTTCTTGTTCTAAATATTAAGCAATGTCTGTTCAATGTTTACTTTAAATTTAGTTTGTTTCATAATTACCTGGACACATAAAACACAGTCTTTTTAAATTTATTTATACAAAAAAAAATATATGTTTACAAATTAATAAACTAACGAAAATAAAATGATATTATCGTATGTTATCAGTATACAATTAGAGAATAAGAAACATAAGAGTATTTCACATCGAAAAATAGACAAAATTATTAACAGAACAGGAACACTTTATCGTTAATTTTAGACCTGTAATCAATTGAAATTCGTCAGTATAAATGAAGATTATACTTCTTTAGCTTAAAAAAATCATGAAAAGGGCAGATATATTTCAAATATTAATCGAATATATAAACAAATGACTTAAATTATTACCATATAAAAGTTGTAAGTTACTTCTAGTTATGAGAAAAATGCATTGCCTTCAATATGTATTGTCCCCTCCCTCGTTCATTTCTCATTTTCTTTCTATAGGAGGTTGCTTGCTTTCATTCACTTTCTGGTGTATGTCGGACTACAATTTATTATTGAGCAATGTTAGCAATCATTTATACGCGCTCACTTAATGGACAAAGTAATGAGTCGGCAAAAGAGTGGATAATGGCATGTGATTTTCTTCATTGTTGCAAAAATCCCAAAGATGTAATTAATCGAAGAAAGTCAATTCGATTTTTTCCCCCTTTTCCTATTTTATTTTAACAATAAATGAAGTAAAATATAAATTATATTGCTTGTGGATATTAAATTTTTCTAATCGATATGCACAATAATTATTCTTGTGAAAGTAAAGAAATAAATAATCATCAAGTTTGTTTTCTCCAATATTATTATTATTATTATTATTCAAAGAAATATTTAGAAATTAAAGAAAATTCTCCTTATAAATTTATATATATATATGAATATTTATAATTGATAATATGCACCAGAATGTGAAAGAGAAAATCAATTATAAGCATGCATATTAAAAAGGTATTAAAAGATTGAATCTTGATAGTTTTATGTTTTGGAGTTAAGTCTAATGTTAAATAATTAATATATTTAATAATTTAAATAAAGTCTATAGTACAATAGTTTTGAAAGTATTAATTGAAAAATCCTTTAAAAGAATTAAATATTTTAAAATTTAATTTAGAACATTTATATTATTAGTTTAAATCCGCATTAAACTAACAGGAAAATAAATTAATTTTTAAACTAAAGAGAGGAAAAAAAATTTAATTAATGTTTAGTAATTATAATAAATATAATTCTATTTTAAGAAATAAACTTAATTACTTTTCCTTAACTTGTTTCTCTTTAACTTAATTATTATCATTCATTATAATTTTTTAAAGTCCTGCTTCTTTATATATTTATTAAAATTATTTTTAATTCGATTATTTTTTTTAATTTATTATATAAAAATAATTTGAGTTTGTTTCTAGTTTATTTATTTATTTATAAACATATAAACTTAATTAATTTTTCTTGTTTATTTACAAATTCATCTATCAACATTTATTTTTCTGAATTTTCTTTTATTGACATATAAATTAATTTTTCTTTGTTTATAAATTTATTATTACCATAGAAAGTTCATTTTACTTTATTTTTTTCCATTATAATTTCTGTTTATTACGACTTAAATTAATTTTTTATTTACTTCTTACACCTGTTTATTATTTCATGTGCACCTGTTTCTTTTTAATTTATTAATTAACTTGGAAAAAAAATGTCTTAAAATTTAATACAAACTTTTTCATAATAAATCAAAATTATTTATAATTTTATGCGATTAAAAACATTTTCCTTTCTAAGAAATTTATTATTGTTTTATTTTTTTTTAAAGTAAAGTTTGTTTGATTTTTATGCTGTTATAATTTTAATTATAATATAAATTATATAGTTAAATATTTATTAAATAAATAAAGAAAATGTTTGAACGGATAACAAATTTATTTTTCAATATATAAGTTCAACTTTATATTGCTAGTAAACAAATGTTGATCTTTATCTTCAAAGATATTCTTTGAAGATATTGTCTTCCGTTTGTGTGTTTTATGGTTGACTAACTTAATCCTGAATTAGGATATTTCTTCTTTATTTTTTAGGCACTTCAAGGATACGCGGCAGGAAACTACTGTGTAATAGGAAGCATCGACTGGAGACAAAGAGACTTGTAACATAGAAGCGTTGCAGAAGTTAGTTTCAAATTTGCAGAGGGGTAAGAGCATTTTTTTTATAAACAGTAAACAATAAAAATTCCATACACAGAATAACCATTCGTATTTTATTTTAATTAAAATATTCTTTTAATATTTGTAGATAATGACAATCATTTTATAAAGTGCCTTGTGTGTTTTTTTTTTCTGTAAACAAGACTTTCTCTATAATAATTTATGTGCTGTATCTTTTCAACAACAAGATTCTCTATAAGAAGAAGATATAGTAAAAATGTCTTAAAATATTTTATTAGTTCAGAGCCTTACCAAGTCGTTTGGTAGATAAGGCAAGGGAACTTCTTTAGCAAATGATTTATTTACAGTAGTTTAAAAGTGTAGATACATAAAATTCTCGGTTTGATCATCTTATAAGATTAACATATACTTACTTAGATTATTTATTGTGTTTTTTCCCCGTTATTTTTTTTAATAAAAGACCTTAACAGATATTGATAATAGAAAATAGTGAAGTATGATTTGTAAACACGTATTACTCTTGTTGTTGATTTACGAGAGTATTTTTTTCCTGACATCACACAAGATCATTTTAGACTTTTTTTTATTTTTTTCATTAAAGGCACTCGAGATAATTGATGCTTTAAATGGTATAGGGTATCTTTGTTATAGAAAGTAATAAAAATGAAAAAAAAAACAGCAGGAAAAATTCACGAGAAGTTTAAAATTGAATATAAAAAGTTAGAAATGATATATATGGGGCATTTTATTGATTTTATATAGCATATACAGGCTATAATTCAATTTTTATTTGCTTTCAAAATACTAAAGGTCAACATTGTTAAAATTCTTTTAAGGTAATTCGAGTAACTTTTGATCCATAATGTACTTTAGTATAAATCTTTGTATTGTATTTACTTGGCTTCTTCTTCGTCATAAAGAATAGCACAATTGTTGCTTAAAGATTTTACTAAAACGGTACTTTGTTTTCAATTCATGTTTTCGATTTTAAGCGATTTGTCAGAATTCCCTCCCTTTTTTTCTTGTTTTTTTTTTCCTTTATGACACTAGGATAAACATTGATTTGTTTCTCTGGATCGAATGTCGTTGGATAACAACACTAAAACTTACTTTTATGGCAATAACCAATGACAATTTTTACTTTAAATTATCTGAATATACTGTTGTTTTTATTTTCATAATATTAACTTTTTATTAAATAAATAGAAGAGAAAATTTATTACCTTTGTTTATAAATTATACACGTAGACCTTGTTTATAAATAAGATTTATTATATTGATATAGAAGTACAAAGAATTAAGAAAATTTATCACCTTTAATTTACATCAATAGGATATTAATTATTATTATTATGATAATTTAACATTTTGTAGATTATATATTTACTTATTTATACGTATTAGGATAGGAAATATTTTCGCGATTATTTATGAAACTGCAGTAAAGGAAAATGCTGCATAACCATCTCTCTTCACCATAATATTAGCTATGATATATATGAAGATGGTTCGAATAACTATGTCCATTCTTATTAGATATCCTAGCTATCTGTAAGTGAATCTGTTCTTACATAGGTGATGTTGCTGGAAGTCATTCTCGGTAGTATTCTGAATGATAAGTGGAGTAACTGCCACTCTCAACAAGAAAATTGCTTTGTTTACAATGTCAGATGGATTTTCATTCTCGGATATCACTCAACATCTAATATATTGTATGGGATACTTATATAACGATGATAGAGCGATGCGATTTAGATCTGAGTACAAAATAACATACGGTGTTTTCTATATAAAATATAGGAATATAGTATAAAAAGATTTTTCCGATTCGATATCAATTCTTTCTTTAATATTTTTTTTCTCTTTTTTTTTACAGGTGTCTTGTGTTGCTTCTGCCGTGCGATCCTTTGTACAGTATGTGCCTTGCTATCTCCGTGTCTGTGTATTCGTACGTTGGAACAACCAGAGACCAGCAGCCGGGAATTTAAAAAAAAGACAAAAAAATACAAAAAAAAAAAAAAAAGTTAAATTA